CCCCCTCCCTCCCCCTCGGATGCGAGCAGGGGGGAGGCCGCCTCCAGCAGCAGGCTCTTCAGCTCCCTCGCGCTCATGGCCTCCAGCTGCGCCTGCCAAGCGAAGGCCTCCGACGGCCTCCGAGCCCGCCAAGAACCCCCCGAGGGCCGCCGAGGGCCGCCGAGGGCCGCCGAGGGCCGCCTCCATGTTGTAAGGTTCCCGAGTTGTTTCTATCGTTGTTCCTCTTTATTCCTCGCGATGTCCTCCTTGACTTCTTCCTTTCTCTTTTTTTTTCTTTGTGTTTCTCTCTCTCTCTCTATCACTATCCGTTCTCCTATTACAATATGTATGTATGGTGTTTTTTCATGTGACCTATTCCTCTATTTCTCTCTCTTTGTTGTTCTCTCTCTCTCTCGTTCTCTCTCTCTCTCTCTCTCTCCCTCTCTCTCTCCCTCTCTCTTTATCTTCATCTCTATATGGTTAACCGTCCCTGCCAAGCGAAAGAGGCGGGGAGAAGTTGGAGCCCCTCTAAATCAAGCTACGTTTTCGAACATGCTGGTTAAAGGAAGCAGCTCGTAGAAGAGAACGGGAACATGGGGAGGGGAGACAAGACGGGAGGGAAAGCGAGGGCGAGGGGAGAGCAAGGAAGAGGAGCAAGAGGAAAAGAAGGAGAGAGGGAAAAAGACGAGGAGGGAGGAGGATCCATTTCTAATCGGATCCCATGAGATGTGGATCCGTATGTAATAAGATGTTTTTAGAAGTGGATCCATATGTAATGGGTTTCTGTTAGAGGCGGATCCATATGTAATGAGGTTCTACTAGAGGTGGATCCAGCTGTAAAAATATTACATTTCACGTGGGCCCATCTCCAAACGCATTCCATTGCATGTGGATCCATCTCTAATGAGATTATATCAGAGGTGGACCCATCGCTAATCTGATCCCATCAAAAGCGGATCCATATCTAATCGGATTCCATGAGAGATGGACCCACCTCTATTCGGATTCCATTAGAGCTGAATCCATCTGTAATCGGATTCGAGTACAAGTGGATCCATCTGTAGGATTCAGTTCGAGATGGATCCATCTCTAATGGGATTATTTATTCGAAGTGGAAACGTCTCCAATCGGCTTCCATTGGAGGTGGATCCATCTGTACGACGTTCCCATCCGAAGAGGAACCATCTCTGATATAATCCCATTGGAGGTGGACCCATCTGTAGTATGATTATATCAGAGGTGGACCCATCGCTAATCTGATCCCATCAAAAGCGGATCCATATCTAATAGGATTCCATGAGAGATGGATCCACCTCTATTCGGATTCCATTAGAGCTGAATCCATCTGTAATCGGATTCGAGTACAAGTGGATCCATATGTAGGATTCAGTTCGAGATGGATCCATCTCTAATGTGGTTCTTCTTTCGAAGTGGAAACTTCTCCAATCAGCTTCCATTGCAGGTGGATCCATCTGTACGGCGTTCCCATCCGAAGTGGAACCATCTCTGATAGAATACCATTGGAGGTGGACCCATCTGTAGTAGGATTATATTAGAGATGGACCCACCTGTGATAGGACCCCATTAGAGGTGAACCTCACTCTGATCGGATCCCCTTCGGGGTGGGTCCATCCCTAATAATATTCGGATAGAGGTGGATCCATCCCACATCGGATTCTATTAGAGGTGGATCCATCTGCAATGGTGTCCCATTAAACGTGGACCCATCTCTAATTTGAGTCTATCAGAGGTGGAACCATCTCTAATAAGGTCCCATTAGAAGTGGACCCTTTTGTGGTAAGAATAGATTAGAGGTGGGCCCATCTTTGTTAGGACCCCATGTGAGGTGAACCCATCTGTAATAGGATTGTATTAGAGGTGGGCCCATGTCTCATAGGATTCCATCAGATATGGGTACATGGCTAATCGGATTCTCGTAGAGATGGGCCCATCCCTAATAGGATTCTACCAGGGATGGATCTATATGCGATAGGATTATATCAAGAGGTGGGACCATCTGTCATAGGGTCATATTAGAGGTGGATCCATCCGTACTCGGATTCCATGAGAGGTGGGTCCATCTCTAATGTGATTATATCTGAGGTGGGCCCATCTCTACTAGGATCCCATTCGATGTGGATCCATTTGCACTAGGATTCTAATAGACATGGATAAATCTCTAAAAGCGCTCCATCGGACATGGCACCATCTCTAACAGGATTATGTTAGAGGTGGGTCCATCCGTACTCGGAGCCCATTAAAGAAGCCTCCATCTCTACTTGGATTCTATCAGAGGCGGATCCATCGCTAATATGATTTTGTTTTCAGAGGTGGACCCATATGTAATAATATTAAATTCGACGTGGGCCCATCTGTTTTTGATATAAAAAGGGATACTAGTAGAGGTGGATCCACCCGTAGCAGGATTCCATTGGAGTTGGATCCATCCCTAATGGGATTTTATTAGTTGTGGATCCATCCTGGATGGGGTTCTAATAGAGGTGGATTCATATGTCATGGGATTATATCAGAGGTGGCCCCATCTGTAGCATGATTATATTCGGGGTTGGTGCATTCCTAATCGGATACTATGGAAGGTGGACCCATCTGTAGTAGGATTCTCTTTGAGGTGGACCCATCTGTAGTGCGATTCTATTAGAGGTGGATCCATATGTGATGCGATTCTATGCAAGGTCGATCCATGCGTACTAAGAATCTACTAGCGGTGAATCCATCTGTCCTAGGATTCCATTAGCGGAGGCCCGTCTCCAATAGGATTCCAGTAGGGGCGAATCCATGTCTAATCGGATTCATGAGGGGTGGACCCCTATGTAATAAGGTGCTGTTAGAAGTGGATCCATATGTTTTGAGGTTCTGTTAGAGGTGGATCCATCTGTAGTGAGATTCTGTTAGAGGCGGATCCACCTGTAATGAGATTCCATAAAACGTGGGTCCATCTCTAAACGCATTTCGTTACATGTGGATCCACCTCTAATGGGGTTCCATTAGAGATGGACTCATCGCTCATATGATCCCATCGGAAGTGGACCATCCCTAAAAGGACTCCATGCGAGATGGATCCATCTCTAGTCGGAGTCCATCGGGAATGAACCCATGTGCAATAGGATTATATTAGAAGTGGGTCCATCTGTACGAGGATCCAATTAGAGGTGGATCCATCTCTAATGGGACTCTATTAGAGGTGGAGACATCTCTAGTCGGCTTCCATCAGAGGTGGATCCATCTGTCATATGTTCCCATTCAAAGTGGATCCATCTCTGTTGAAATCCCATTAGAGGTTGATCCATCTGTAATAGGATTCTATGAGAAGTGGACCCATATCTGATAGGACTCCATCATATGTGGATCTCACTATGATAGGATCCTAGTCGGGGTGGATCCATCTCTAATCGGATGCCACTAGAAGTGGATCCATCTGTAATAGGTTCCAATTCGAAGTGGATCCATCTCTGTTAGAACTCCATTATAGGTGGACCCATCGGTTGTAGGATTCTATTAGAGGTGGACCCATCCCAGATAGGACTCCATCAGAGGTGGATCTTACTCTGATAGGGTCCTTGTCGGGGTGGATCCATCTCCAATCGGATCCCATGAGAGGTGGACCCATCTGCAGTAGGAGTCTATTTGAGGTGGATCCATATGTAGTAGGATTGAATTAGAGGTGTATCCATATGTCATGGGACTCTGTTGAAGGTGGATATATATATATATATATATATATGTAGCAGGACTCTCTTTGACGTGGATCCATCTGTAGTGTGAACCTATTAAGGGTAGACCCATCTGTAATAGGATTATATGAGAGGTGGATCCGCCCAGTAGGTTTTTTTTATTAATGGAATATTATAAGAATAGTCCACAGTAGTTATCCCAATGTGATCCCCCTCAAAAGGGTTCCAATTAAAATCCTCCCAAAACGGAGTCCTTTTGTAATTTGTCACAGAATAAAAATGTATCGCAATCGTCCGAAAAAAGAATGATATTGAAATCCTCTGCCGAAGGAACTACATTGCAACCTTGACCAACACAATGTACATCGCAACTCTTCACACATAATAAGAAAAACCTATTGCAATGTGCCGCAAAGCGAACCCTTGTGTGGCGGCAAAGAGAAGTTGGGGTCCCGATGAAGGAAAGAGAGAGAGAGAGAGAGAGAGCGAGAGAAAAACAAACAAACAAAAAACAAATAACAAAACTAAAGAAAAAACGCAAAACATAATCCGATTCAAATCCTCCACAACAGAGACCGTATTGTAATCCGCCGCAGAAGGAAATTCTTTTGTGATCGTCCACAAAAGGAAGCCTATTGAATCCTCCACAAGGAATCCCATTGTAACGCGCCACGAAAGAATTCCTGCCAGGAAAAATGGAAAGGCCAGGACACAAAACAACTGTATTTTTTTGTTTGTTTTCCCCCCCGGGCGGTGGCGCGGGAAGGGGGGGGGAAACAAAAAACTAGTTGCTTTGCTGTTTCTTTCCTGGCCTTCCCACTTTTCCTGGCCGCCACAAAGGGGTTCTTTTGTGGCGCGTTACAATAGGATTCCCTTTGTGGAGGATTACAATAAGATTCCTTTTGTGGAGGATTCAATCGGATTCCTTTTGTGGGCGATTACAAAAGGATCCCTTCTGTGACCCACCCACCCACCCGCCTTGTTTTTTACCCGCCCCCTCACCCTTCCAAAAAAAAGGCGAGAGACAGAAAGAAAGGGAGAAAGAGAGAGAGAGAGAGAGAGAGCGAGACAAGAGAGAGAGAGAGAGAGAAGAAAACAACAAAGACAAAAAAAATGAGGAACGGCCCCGGAGGGGCCGCCGAGGGGCCGCCGGGGGCCTCCGAGGGGCCGCCGAGGGCCGCCGAGGGGCCGCCGAGGGGCCGCCGAGGGGCCGCCGAGGGCCCCCGAGGGGCCGCCGAGGGGCCGCCGAGGGGCCGCCTGCGTGAAGTCGCCGCGGCGGGGAGCGCCGCCGCTGGGGCCCGCCGCCGGGCGCGGCGGCTCCGCGGGTGCGCCGGCGCTCGGCGCGCGCCGGCGGGCGGCGCCGCGGAGCGCGCGCGCTCCACGAGCCGGGTGTTGCCACAGTGCCCCTGGCCCGCATCCTCCCAGCCTCCCCTCCTGTTGCCACAAGCCCCCCGCGTCCCTCCTCCTCCCTCCTCCTCCTCCTCCTCCTCCTCATCCCTCTCCTCTCTCCTCCTCCTCCTTTCACCCCTCCTGCCTCCTCCTCCTCTCCTCCACTCCCTCCTCCTCCTCCCTCCCCCTCCTCCTGTTCCTCAGCTTCCAGCTTTTCGCTCCATTTTGGAGCCCCTGGGGCCCTCTGAGCCTCGTGAGGGTTGCTCTGGAGGCCGCCTGAGCCCCCCCCCGAGAATCCTGGGGGCACCTTGGGCCAGGGGCACTACTAGCAACACCCGAACGAGCTCGCGCTTCTCGAAGCAGTCCGCGTGCCGGATCCCACGCTCGTCCAGGAAGGAGCGCAGGTCCTCGTCAAGCAGGGAGGATTCCCAGACCTCCTCGCGCTGTGAAAAAATAACGACGGGAGGTTTTTCGCTATTTTCGGCCTCCGGGGGCCCTTCCCAGGGCCTCGGGGCCGTCAAAGAACGACTCAGGATTGAAAACCGGTCCCGGGAAAGGGTCCAGACCTCCGGGGGTCGATGTTGTGAAAAAAACACGACGTCGGGGGTCTGGGTTCAGGGCAGAGGGACCACCCTCGTAAGAAGCGGCCCGGGAAGCGAAGCCATCGGGTAAGCGCACCCCCGGGAGGAACCGAACAAGGCAGGGCTGTTTCGTAAAGCCAATGATGGCAGTCGGGGGGGGTCCTCGCTTGAGGGACGGGCCCCACCTCCTCACACAGCGGACAAGAAAAACTTAGATATTGCCACGATCCCCGACCTTGGAGGACAAGTGGGCGTTTCTTGCGAGGAAGAGAAAAACAAACAAGTATATGCCTATAGGGTAATTACATAATGTTGATTCCCGTGTTGTCCGTTTGACGCTGTGCCGCTTTAAGGCGCATTATGCTGGTTCCCGTGGTGTCCGTTTGACGCCGTGCCACTTTGTCGGGGCGTCTCCGACCATCTTGGAGACCTGTTGGGCAGCCTTCGGGCCCTGGGGCGTCTCCGACCATCTCGGGGCCCTCTTAGGCAATCTTGGGACCCTCTTGGGGGCCTCTGGGGGCTTCCCGGAGACCTCTTGGAGGCTTCTTGGGGCCTCTTGGGGGCCTCTTGGGATCTCCTGGGGATTTCTTTAGGCGAGGTGAGCTCAGCACGCCTCCATGCGAGCCACCGGCGGAGGACAGGCTTGCGTGACTTGCGAGAAAGAGAACAGCAAAGAAGAAAATGCCTGTGGGGCGCATTGTGTTGGTTCCCGTGTTGTCCGTTTGACGTTGTGAAGCGTTGTCGGGGCGTCTGCGGCCATCCTGGGGGCCTCTTGGGTAATCTGGAGGCCCTCTTGGGGACATCTGGGGGCGGCCTGGGAGCCTTTTTCGTGCTGCTTAGGGCCTCCTGGGGCTTCCTGGAGGCGATGTGGGGGCTTCTTGGGGCCTCTTGGGGGCCTCGTGGGGCCTCCTGGGGGGCTCTTCGGGCGGGGAGCTAGAAAAGAGTCTCGGCTCCCCCTCGGGGGGCCTCTCTTGGGGCGTTCCTGGGGCCTCTCGTGGGGCCTCTTTTTAAAGGGTCTCTCGTGGGGCCTCTTGGAGGTCCCTGGGGCGTCTTGGGACTTCCTGGGACGTCTGCAGGCCATCTTGGCTGGCCCGGATCGACCTGCTGGCGACTCGTGGCTCTCTTGGACCATCTTGCGGACCATCTTGGGGCCGCCCGCGCCGCCCAGAAGCGCGTCTGCAGAAATGGGGCCGTCTTCCGCCGACTTCCGCTGGCGTTCCGCCCGTGGCCGGGGGGGGGCGGGGGGGTACCCCCCCCAGACCCCCTCAGGGGGATACTAAACAGGAGCCCCTCCTCAAGGTCGGGGGAAAAACCTGATGTAGCCACGAACCCCGACCTTGGAGGACAACAGGGCGTGAATTGCGAGGAAGAGAAAAACAAACAAATAGATGCCTATAGGGTACAAAATGTTGATTCCCGTGTTGTCCGTTTGACGCTGTGCCGCTTTAAGGCGCATTATGCTGGTTCCCGTGGTGTCCGTTTGACGCCGTGCCACTTCGTCGGGGCGTCTCCGACCATCTTGGAGCCCTGTTGGGCAGCCTTCGGGCCCTGGGGCGTCTCCGACGACCATCTCGGGGCCGTCTTAAGCAGTCTTGGGGCGGCCGTTCCGACGTTCGGAAGCGTTTGCGTCTATCCTGGGGCTCTCTTGAGCAATTGGGCGTGATTTGAAAGCAAGAGGACAGCAAAGAAACGGATGCCAAAAGGGGGGCATCTAACGTTGGTTCCCGCGTTGTCCGTTTGACGCGGTGATGCTTTGTCGGGGTGTCTCCAGCCATCCTGAGGCCCTCTTGGGCAGACTTGGGACCCTCTTCAGAGCCTCTGGGAGCTTCCTGGGCAGGTCAGGGGACAAAAACCTGATATTGTCACGAACCCCGACCTTGGAGGGCAAGTGGGCGTGAATTGCGAGACAGAAAAAAACGAAGAGGAGGATGCCTGTAGGATGCATTCTGCTGGTTCCCGTGTTGTCCGTTTGACGCTGTGCCGCTTTGTCGAGGCGCATCCAGCCGTCGTGGGGCCCTCTTAGGGCTGTCCTGAGGCCCTGTTGGGCGCTTCTGGGGGTTTGCTGGAGACCTCCTAAGGTGAGCTCAGGAAATTGCCATACGAGCTAGGAAGTCTCGGGGCTGTCCGTTTGTCGGAGTGAGGCTTTGTCGAGGCATTTCCAGCAGTCCTGGAGTCGTGGGGCAGTCCTGGGGCCCTCTTGGGCGCTTTGGGGGGCTTCCTGGAGGCGTGGTGAGGTCTTGAGGCTTCTTAGGGTCGTCTTGGGGGTTATTGTGGCCTCCTCAGGTCCTTCAGCCGTCCTGGGGCCCTCCTGAGGGAGTCCCGGGGCTGTCCGTTTGTCGCTCTGACGCTTTGTCGAGGCGCTTCCAGCAGTCCTGGGGTCTTGGGGCAGTCCTGGGGCCCTCTTGGGAGCTTCTGGGGGCTTCCTGGAGGCGTCTTGAGGTCTTGAGGCATCTTGGGGTCTTCTTGGGGGTCACTTGGGGTCTCATCAGGTTCCCCATGTTGTCCGTTTGACGCTGTGAGGCTTTGTCGAAGCGCCTCCAGCCGTCCTGGGGCTCTCTTGGGGCAGTGCTGCTGCGCCCATCTTGGGCGCTTCTGGAGGCTTGCTGGAGGTCTCTGGAAGGTTGTTGGGGGCCTCTTGGGGCCTCTTCAGGGGTTGTTGGGGCCTCTTGGGAACTTCTTGGGAGCTTCTGGGGGCCTCTGGAGGGGTTATTGGGGCGGAGAACCCGATTCCTCGGTTTTTCTGAACGTTTCTGAAGAAAAGGCGGCCAAGAAAACGACGATGCGTCTTGGAAGTGGGCTCAGCACGCGACTAGGCGAGTTACGAGGTGAGCTCAGCACGTGTCCATGCGAGCCACATGGAAAGGAAGGGGTGAGCTCAGCTCGCGACCATGCGAGTCACGAGGTGAGCTCATCACGTTTCCATGCGAGCCACAGGGAAAGGAGGGGGCGCGGTTGCATATGACGGGCGAGAAACTTGAGTTTGGAGGATTTGGGGGCTCCTAGGGGCCGTCGGGCTTGGTTGGAGGTTGTGTCGGGGACGTGTCTGACTGTATGAGGACTGGGTTGGACAACTCGCGGCGGTCGGGGGCCGCATGCGGCCGTATTGAAGCCTCCTGGAGACTTCTTGTAGGGCTTTCTGGTAATACGACAAGTCGCTAAGGGTTTCTCTGCGACAGCTGTCCAGAGGGAAAAGCGGCCAGAAAAACAACGGTGCGTCTTGGAGGTGAGCTCAGAACGCGACCATGCGAGCCACGGGGTGAGCTCAGCACGTTCCCATGCGAGCCCAGAAGAGGAAGGCCAAGGTGCGCATTACCTTGGTTCCTGTGTGGTCCGACTGACGCTGTGCTGCTTAAAGCGCATTACATTGGTTCCCGTGTTGTCTGTTTGACGCCGTGAGGCTGTCGAGGCGCCTCCAGCAGTCGTGGGGCCCTCTTGGGGCTGTCCTGAAGCCCTGTTGGGCGCTTCTGGGGGCTTGAGACCTCGTAAGGTGAGCTCAGGAAATTTCCGTACGAGTCAGGAAGTCCTGGGGCTGTCCGTTTGTCGTTATGACGCTTGAGGGCCTTTTGGGGCATCCTCAGGTCCTTCCGCCGTCCTGGGGCCCTCCTGAGGGAGTCCCGGGGCTGTCCGTTTGTCGCTCTGACGCTTTGTCGAGGCGCTTCCAGCGGTCCTGGGGTCTTGGGGCAGTCCTGGGGCCCTCTTGGGAGCTTCTGGGGGCTTCCTGGAGGCGTCTTGAGGTCTTGAGGCATCTTGGGGTCTTCTTGGGGGTCACTTGGGGTCTCATCAGGTTCCCCATGTTGTCCGTTTGACGCTGTGAGGCTTTGTCGAAGCGCCTCCAGCCGTCCTGGGGCTCTCTTGGGGCAGTGCTCGGCCCATCTTGGGCGCTTCTGGAGGCTTGCTGGAAGCCTCTGGAGGGTTCTTGGAGGCCTCTTGGGGCCTCTGCAGGGGTTTTGGGGGCCTCTTGGGTTTTTTTGTTGGGACCCTCTGGGGGCCTCTGGAGGGGTCACTGGGGCAGAGAACCCGAAAAATCGGCCCCTGCCTCCGCTCCAGGGGCTCTCTTGGGGCGTGCCTGGGGCGCTTGTGAGGCCGTCTTGGAGGCCTCTTGGGCCGTCTTGAGGACGTCTTGGGCCGTCTGAGCGCTCTCTTGGGGGTCTCTGAGGCTGTCTTGGGGCGATATTTGGGACCTCTTGGGCCGTCTTGGAGCGGCGGGAAGCCGAACAGGCGAAAACCAAACAAACTTTCAAACACCTAAGGATACCTACAATTGTTTTAAGTTTCGGGCCCTCCTGGAAAGCGTCTTGGGGGCCTCTCGGGGCGTCTTTTGAAATCCCTGGGGCATCGGGACGCCATATTGGGCGTCTCTGGGGGCTTCTGGAGGGGTCACTGGGGCGGAGAACCCGAAAAATCGACCCCTGCCTCCGCTCTGGGGGCTCTCTTGGGGCGTGCGTGGAACACTTGTGAGGCCGTCTTGGAGGCCTCTTGGGCCGTGTTGAGGACGTCTTGGGCCGTGTGAGCGCTCTGTTGGGGGTCTCTGAGGCTGTCTTGGGGCGCTCTTTGGGGCATCTTGGGCCGTCTTGGAGCGGCGGGAAGCCGAACAGGCGAAAACCAAAAAAAACTTCAAAATCCCAAGGACAACTACAGATGTTCTACGTTTCGGGCTCTCCTGGAAAGCCTTTTGGGAGCCTCTCGGGGCGTCTTTTGGGCTCCCTGGACCTCGGGACGCCATACTGGGCGTCTCTGGAGGCTTCTGGAGGGGTCATTGGGGCAGAGAACCTGAAAAATCGGCCCCTGCCTCCGCTCCGGGGGCTCCCCTGCCTCCGCTCGGGGGG